TGATTACTTATTTAAAAATTATTCGTTTACATGGTTATCTTAAAAAATTGTACATTAATATTATGCATTATTACCTTTTTGATATAACCCGATGAAAAATAATAAATTAATATTGACGCATAATAAATGAGTGAAGTCGCACCTTCTAATTTTTAAAATAATATATATTATGCGCAAATCTTTTGAATCCTCATTCACTGTACCTGTTTGCACGGTGTTAGCTATAATGAAATCAAACTTTTTCACGGTATTCGTTACATGACGAAAGAATTCTCGTGTAATTATATTTTCTGGTTTTGTGAACGATACGACTGTATAAAATTTAATTTTAAAATTATATATACATAGACAATTTGGTAATAATAATATTATATCTCATTAACAATAAGACATTAGTGTTAAAACAGCCATGAAATTAATCGCTGGTATTTCGCCTACACATGTGTCTGTTCGGTAGATATACGTCTACTCCATGTCAATTTTAATTTAAAAACAAACAGTTAAATTAACTTTTATATCAATCGACAAACGTACTTAAAATGCAAATCGCATGTATTAATCGTAGGTAAGTTGACCTTTACCTGGTCATAAACTCTCTACATTTAAATTGCCAAATATTTATGACTTGACAATTTAGTAATACCCATCGATTAGAATTACATTTACGCGTGATTTAGCTCATTACGCTCTACGAGTAATACTTACAAGTATTATTCGTAAAAAAATAATAAATAGTTTTTCGTCTTATACATAACAGGTACGTTCGTATTAATCGGTAAACGCTTATTTTATAATCATAAGATGTAAAATACATTTGATATATAACTATGATTTTAATTGCGAGTATTTTATTAAATATAGTCATAAATAATAATTATGTTTATTCGATAATTATGACTTATACCAATAAAATTACTAGAAATCAATACCAACAATTAAAAAGTATATTTGTATTAGGTGTATAGAAAAAATGTATTATATTCGTAAGTAAATTATAATGGAAACTAAATAATATATAATATTTGTAAACTCCCAAAATCGTAAATTAACAAATTTTATACTTTGTGCCTAATTTTGCTTTTTTTCAAATATTTTTACTCTTTTAAATCTATTAATTTAAATAACCGTTGGAATATTAATTAATAGACATTAACACGTGATTAAAAAATTTCAAATTCATGGTTTAAACTAATAAAATCAATGTAACATGTTTCATTTTTTATACTCATATCGACGGTAGGCGGAAGAATCATAAGAATTCATACTGCATCTATCAAAGCATATTATCTTCTAAGTTATTTGTATTCTAATGATCTACAATAATTAATTTCATCACCGATAACGTCAAATTCGAAACATTTATTTGCCCTTAAGCATCAAGTATTGATGCTTGTTGCCTGTTGTAGAATTGTTTTCGTGAAATGCACGTTCATCAATTCTTATACACACCGACAAAAATTTTTTGGAAAATAATAAACTTGTGTGATTAAATAAAAAAATATCAGTGATCAGTTGTGATAAAAATGTGGACATTTAAACATCTGACCGTGAACCATTTATCTTCACTGTATCGCGTAGAACATAGTACATGTATAGTAGGTTACATTATAGGTGGATATTGTATCCATGTCTAAACGAAACGAACGTCTGTGTCACTGTGCACATACGAATAGCTCTCCGTATTATAATATATTAGAATTACGTAATATTTCATCGAGCGGTTATATTTTTTTCGGTAAATAGTGTAGATATAAACAGTGATTTGAAACATTCGATCCATTAGTTAGGGTCGGCTTTTAGCGCCTTTTTAACATGCAAATGCGTTTATCGGTCGTTTTACATCTGATTTATTACCGAGCCGTCTCGTAATTTTCAACGCGGTTCGTCACCATATCATTTAACTCGCCCGATCTGATATCAACACCGCGGCCGCGTCGCCACAAGCACACAAAGAGTATGTATAGTAATGAAATTCGTTTTTCTTTTTCCACCGTATATTTATTTATAAAGTAACTGCTTGTGTATACGTATTATTACATAGGAGTGTGTGTGTTTTTGAACTGACGTTTAAACCAAAATAATAAATCGTTGAACACTATCTTGTTCCCACTCGCTGTGACTTTGACATCATACCTAAATATTATTATTTTATCAAATCTGTTGTTCGATACGTACGGTGTATACCTCCGCGTGTTGTAATACTATATTGGTTTATTGACTACGGTTATTTATGCCATGGGTTAGATGCAATAATTAACAACCCCGAGTAAATCGAAACGTTATGGTGACTGACTGTGATAAATAAATAAGAGGGGAAAAGAACATTATTCATCTAAGCTAACGATGTGATAAATTCTGATAGACATCCTTAAGAATGTTTATCTATTGGATATATTTTTAATACATACTATTCTGAAAATTTAAACATACTACAGAAATTATTGCGAATTTAAAGGTTTAAAAAATTATTGATCTTCGGAAACTTGTACATGATTTGAGTTCCAATATTCGTAACTCAACTCATCCCAATCATATAATAGGTTTTGATTTTTTGTTCAAATCTCTGTTCGTTTTTTAAAAATAATTCAGTTGGTTCCTCGGGCGATCTTAAGATATGGACTGTCAAATGACAGCCAAATACCCGTAATTTTTGTTATCTATAATCATTACACGTCACCCGTTGTGGCCCACACGGAATTTTTGAAACTTCTCATAAAATGATTAAGCCCTTCAGGCATTTAAGAACCTATTTCTCTTCGTACGATATTTATTTATTTATTAATTAAATTTCTAGTGAACATTTTCTTACTAAAGACATAATATTTGTTAATGGTTTTTATTACATGTAAAAATTATCAATAAGAAACATGTTACATATATATATATATATTGTATAATGTATATAATTACTGAATTGTATGATTCGAACGTTTTTTGCTTTATTTGATTTTATTTCTTTTTTCTTAAAATTATACAACTCAATTTTTAAATTTAAAATCTCTAAATATTAATCATTGTTTTGTTTATTATACTATGTCAAAACTTCAATATCACAAAGGTATTTTAATATTTAAATTATCAATTATTTTCTTTCTGTTTGTCATGGTGAATAAACAAATATTTCCTACCAATTATCGTTGAACTACTACAGGTGCATACAATATTGGAGGTCAAAGTTTTTAAGTTATTTATTTATACCTACTTACAATTTAATTTGGGTGATTTTGAATGCATTAAAATAAAATTAACGTATAAAATATTTAACATTGCATTTATAATATTTTGAGGAAGTTATGCAAGAAGCTAAATTAAAAAAATAAAATAAAAATACTTGAAAATAGATGACTGTGAATAAATAATAATAGTGAACATAAATTATAAGTATATTATTATATAAAACGATGTGTAGAATTTATAGTGACATAACAAATAACAGTAGATAAAAAGAACCAAGATAGAGTAAGACTTAAAGGGTGAAAGTAAAAATAAAAACTTTACGTTTGTTTTATGTACCTCCTTGAATTAAATTTCATAGTTGCTTCCTATTATTTTTTCAAATTACTATGTAGTCTTAATAACCTACACTTATTGTATATTTATAGATTATAATAATCACATTTTAACTATGGATCTTTGCAAAATTAAAAATATAAAAATTATAATACTTAGTTCCTGTGATATTAACAAATATTTTATAAAAATTAATTCGATATCATAACAGGTATAAACTTTTTGATAATTAAGCGATAATATTTAGTAGGTATCTTATTATACATTTAAATAATGGTGCCATTAAAAATTAAAAAAAAAAAAAAATGTTTGAACCTGTTTAGATTAAGATAGATTACATCTAATACATGCTCTATGACATGGCTATATAATGAGTCTCGATATTCACTGAATAATGAAAATTAGTCAACACAATAGAAAATTTCATTACAATTTCTTCATTATAAATAATTATTTCAATATTAAAGGTGAAAAACGGTTATTGAATCACATATTTTTGAAAAATCATCACCAGCCAGTCACGAGCGCCATAACGAATTTCTATGTAGTCATTCAACATACTTTGTTCTTATTGAGCCTTATTCGATGTAGTTTTGAACACAAACACAAGTGAAAACAATATTTCCAGTATTCTTAACAGGTATTTGCATTCAAAGTACTTTATAACCACATAGTTTTATATTTCGTAGGAGCTACTAATTATGTGTGTACCTATACTCGTGTAACATATACTCACTAATGTATTTTCTTTGTTGTTGGACACGGGTGAAATAATCGAAGAGCTTAATATATGTTTCTCTATGACGGTAATGTTTTCGGCACAAAAACAGTGTATTATTCTATTGACAATATATTATTCACTTGTAAATTTGTAGCAACATGGACTACGGTCATGTAGTATCGTGAAGTGTTGAGTGAGGGTAATAATAATTTTGAAACAATTTTTATTATAAAATATTTAATAATGTCATTATCATAATTAATAGTCACTGTTTTCACCCAGGGGAACGAGGGGGGGGGGTGGCAGATGGGCCGTGGCCCCCTCCAGACATTCAAAGAACGATGGTGAATCTAGTATTTACGCGTGACGAAAACGCAGAATGCGTAAATGCTCTATTCGAGATCATTCCAATAATTATTAATAATTTATAAATAATAACTGTATAACGCATCCGCCATAATATTTACAATTCTGAAAACCAATTACCAAGTGCAACAACGGTGTTCTTCGGTCAGCGAGAATGGGGAAATCCGTTTGGTTTATTATTAGATTTGTTTTTTCGTTGCTGTTATTATGTTATTTCTATATATGTAACAGATAAGAAATAAATATGTGTACGAATTAGAAATGGGAGTAGCAATAACAACAATTAGTATTATATATTGTCTTTGTCTTTGTTCTATTATCTTTGGTTACTGGTTATGATTTTTCCATTTGTTTTAATTTTTTCGTACTTCCGTTGTCATATTGTATTATACCGGTGATTTGATCGTCGCTTACCGTTCTATTATTATTAATATTATATTATCTTTTTCATTATGGATCAAACATTTAAAACATTTAAAACTTTACACTCATGCTTTGGAAAGGAAGTACTAGTATTGTATTGTGATTTTTTTTATTGCCAAATCATTTATAGCAGTCTTGTGCGCAGTCAAAAAAATAATGAATAAGAGGTGGATGATGATGATTTAGGAACTTCTGTGATACATCATTAATGGTAATTTAATTTACATGTGAAATATAATAGATTTATACAAACTTCTATACAAATTTTTCTTGAACATTTTAAATTTTAAAATTATATTTATAGTATAATAATAGTAAATCAGATGTTCGAGGAAAATATATTATTATGGAACCCTAACAAATATCAATAGTTAATGAATCTTATACAAACACTACAAAAAAGTAATGTTGTAAGTAAATTTAATTCTGCATTCCTAAATTCTATTTATGCAATAAAATGTTATATCTAATATATTTATTTATATATATTTATAACCTATATTAATCTAACATTATTTATATTTTATTGGTACAACAATAGTTACACTTGACAATTCATCTGGAACACTAAAAACAAATTTTATCCAGACATTGGTCATTTCCTGAACATGGAATATATCAATGATTTCACTAAACATAAATTTAAAAATTTACCACTTAACCTCACCTTGGATCTACCACAGGTATAATATACGAGTATAATGTGTTGAATATGTTGATAATTTATTGTAATTTTTAATTGGTCCTTTCAAGACCTTTGCTCTGAATCCGTGCCTGTTTCACCCTCGATATTATAAAGTTATTAAATTATAACTAATCGAACATTTATTTTTATTGATTACGTAATGATATTGTAATTTTTATTTTCACCCTAGTGTTTAAACTGATTGTCCAACTCATTATATTATATTATGTTATAGTTACAATGTTATACTTCGACTTCTTTGCTTATTTTCCTAACGTATGATAGTAAGACATGCATACATGGTCGAATATTTAAAATTGTATTTATTTATGAATGTCGTTAAAGCAACTGTTTCGTATAATGTACAGCGTTGAGATTGATTTTTGCTGATAAATTATTCACGAAAAAAGAGAAATCCAACATAAGACGTGATTGTACTGCAGTTGTGTAGGCTCGAACGTTCAGAACGTACATCGCTACTGTACATGAACACAAAAACATAATTAATATTAATATATATACGTGGTATAAAGTTAATAAATATTTTAACACGTTGTTAATCTTAAGCACCGCCATCGGTACGCAGTATTTACCTGCGCCGCGTTAACCTTCGCATAGTTGTCCGCTGCAATATAAATCATAATACAACTGCTCGGTTTACGATAATAGAGAAATACTATTGCGCCCATTATTTGTTGGTAATAAAAACAAGACATTTCGAAAGAAAACAACAATAATCGTAATATTAGATTGTATCTTCGTAGCCGTCGAACGTGCTAGAACCGTTTTCGCTCCAAGCGCGCGTACCGAGTAAGTGACTCGAAGTTTCGGTGATCGTTCGCGCGGTTAGACTGCGGCCGATTTTCCCGACATACCGTGGTTGCTGCGCACGTGCATAATCACTTCGAAGGAAATCGAACGATTTGTGACCGTTGTCCCAAGACGGTGTAAACGCTAACAACACCCCAGTCGGAGGACGGTGAAGGGGTTGACGGTAGATCGGATGCACCGCACGGAATATATTATTGTAACGCGAAGGCGACGAGGAATCCGACGCGGGTCCGGCGCGCACCTCTCGGGGCAACAACACGGGTCGGCGACGGGTTAGCTTGACCCCCTGACCGTCGCCCGTCTACACGCGCGCAGCAGCCGACCGCGGTTCAGGCGTAGGAGTGTCCGAGGCGCGCGCGAGCCGGACGCGGAGGAGCCGCCGCACGTCGTCTGCGACCGCCATCGAATGCGCACGCGCACGCGCAAGCACGCCCGAGCCGTACAGCGGCGGCGGCGGCAGCAACAGCGCAGAGTCCGAGACAACGGTCGAAGGAGGCGGCGGCGGCGGCGGCGTCGTCGAGTGTAGCTCAGGTGCTCGGCGGTGGTGGGGGTGGCGGTAAGGGCGGAGAGCGCGGCCAACACGCACGCACACTTACGCGGGACGCGCGCACGTACTCTCGTACACACGCGCGCGCACACACACACACACGAGAGAGCGCGCGCGCGCACGCACCAACACACACGCACCAGCCGGCAACGTCTGCGTATAGTTTTTATTGTGTGTGCGCGTGTACGTATGCGCGCGCGATTCCTAAATAAGAAATCCGACCAGTGCCATACGGACGTAGAATGCACCACACGTATTCGGCCGCCGCTGCCTGTTGCTCCGTGGTTACCGTGTAAACAATCCGAAACCGATTCTCCGTCCGCGTACGCTTGAAACATGAACGAACGCACGTAACGCGATTGGTTTTTACATCCGTTCCGTAACTGTATTAAAAATATCACCGGGTTCGCAAACGGTATTGCGTCGAGAAAAATCAGATACGAAAATATCGAAAAAAAAAAAAAAAAAATTCTCTCTCCAAGCGGTGTGTGCACGAGTGCGCGTGGTTCGCGGTCCGTCGTCTTCCAGCGATTTTCGTACGTCCGGATCCCCGTTGGCCCGTCACGAAAACGGATAAAATCGAGAGCCCAGGTAAGCCCAGACGGTAGGTATTGTTGTTGTTGTTAATTGTATTATCGATAACCGTTGCTGCGTACGCGTCCGGTGACGATCGCCTTGCGGTAGAACGTCGTGTGTCCAGCGGCGGGCGATTGAGACGGCCGAGCGTCGTCCGTTGGGCCGACGAGTAACTGTACGCGCGCACGACCGCTACGACTACTGTGCGGCACGCGCGTTACGACTTATTAATTGTAAACTGACGGCGGCGGCGGCGGCGGCGGCCCCCGACAAATCCGCCGAAACCTGTTGTTTCGGGCGACGCGGAGGAACCTGCTGCCGGCCCTGCGCGCGTACTATACCTGTTGACGGGAACTGGTTCCGCCGCGCGCGCGTAACAATCGTGCGCGCAACAACACCGGACTCCGTGACGAAGGGGTCGACGTCGCACGTGGCCGCGGACAACCCGGACCGGAACCGGAACGCGGCGGTCCGGTCGTGACCGGGATCGTCGGGGAGGGGGAAGGACACGTCGGGGTGGGGGTGTTCGGTAACAACGCGGCGCGTACACATCTGCGTGCCGCCATCGTCGTCGGGGCTGTGCAGATTTCGTTTTTATTCGGGTTTACTCCTCTCCTCGACACCGTGTCACCACCGCTGGGTTGCGTAACCCGTCGCCAGACCTGTCCGCCTCATCGGCGACGTACGGCCGGTGAACGGTTTTTTTTTTTTTTTTTATCTCTCTTCTACGCTCGCGGTTATTAGTACGCATCGGTCGAAACGCGTTCGTTATTACTTAACGCCGACCCGTGTGCGAAATGTGTGCCGCGCGCCGCCGTTTATCCATTGTTTGTTGGCTCCACTGGTGCTGGGTGCCGAGACTTCCGACACCGGCGGTGATGACCTTGAGCGCTCGGTCCGCAGACGCCGCCGCGCGCGACAACAATGCGTACACGCGATGAATCGTGTTTTCCGGACAACGTCTCTCCGGTTCGGACAACGCGAAATCGGATCGGCCAAACGATGCGAGTCCGAACGGCTGTATGGTGTCCGCGGTAGGGATGTGTTTTACCCGGTCGAAACGAACGAATCGGTTTTTTCGGAACCCGAACGCGGCCGTGCGTTTATTTTCGTGCAACGTTACTCGATTATCGCGGTTCGTCGTTATCGTTATTACGATGATAAAACGATAATGGCCGTTTAATTACGTACGGTGCATTTATATAACGCGCGCGCGCGCAGGTATACCCGCGGGCGGTTGTTTTCGCGTTATATTTTCGTCGCGTTCTCAACAATTTATCGTCGACGCAACGTTTCGCTGTTCGCTCGTGCACCGCCGCCGCATTACGATATTATTATTATTTCGGTAATTAAAATATTTTACCGTACGTGATTATACCGTACATTTGCCCGTGACGGGCTCGTACGTCGCAGCGGTCCGAACACGGTTCCAACTACCTGTTCACGAACGTATGCGCGACGGCGTATGACGGGCTAATCCCGTCGGTCACGCGTGGCGTCCGCTCGCCACCGGGTCCTTTTTGTTTACCGTCGAGCACTGGTTCCCGTGGGACTTTGCGAATCCTTCTTCGCCCGTACCGCACTTACGTTCCTACCGCTTCGTGTTCGTACCACGTTTTCCGGCTGCAGGGACGCACGCGCTTCTATGTTGCGTACCAGCCGGCCACCCGGTGGTCGTTTTTCGAAGGATTGCGCAGCAGCACGTGATGATGCCATATGTGTGCCGGCGGCGGCGCGTCACACATTTTCTCTCGCGTGTCCGTTTCCTTTGTTGCCAAACGAAACGTTCGTGATCCCATCGATCGATCGATCGCGCATACATGTTTTAAATCGTACGGGCGCACGGAACGCACGTCGTTCTTCGTTCACTTTCTCTAGCGTGTTATCGCCGACGATTTTCGACTGGGGTGTGATTCAGACGAAGGTCGTCGTCGTTCGTTTTTCGTACGATCGTGTACCTGGAGCTTTTTTACACGCAACGCGCGTTGCACTACGTAGTATTTTTAAAATATTATTCAAAACCCGGTTGAAAATTCCGTCGATTTTTTCGATAGTCATCGGTCGGTAAGTGTACGTGCACGCGCTCTCGGCTACTACGACTGATTACTGCCGAGAGTAAAGTAGTTTCACTCCAAATCGGGTGTAATGGGTATAAGCGAAATATAATATTACCGTCAGACTGGATCGTACCAGGAGTTTTTAGCGTCGTATCTATACTTTCATGCGAGCGTACATACTGTGATTTCACAGTCGTTGATTAAACAAATATTTTCATACACCAATTGACTCCTTTGGTTTAAGAACGCCTCCATAACTACAGGAGAAGTTGATTTTGTTTTCAACCGATTAATTGGTTTATTGCACTAACCGTATTTCCGTGTTGTGACCATCAGTGATTGTGGTTCTTTATAAATATTAGTTGTTGTCGACTTTAACGGTCGGTAATGAAATTGTTGTTTTTTGTTTTCTAATTATTTTACGATTGAAAAATAATTATTAAAAATTTAATTTGATATTTTTTCATCCCTCACACGTGTACGTGCACGTTTGAAGTACCTATGTGTATAATAGACTATACATTTAGTTTTTAGTGAGTTATTTTAGATGTAACCTTTTACCTGTGTAAGTCATTAAGTTATAAAACAAAAACAAATAATAGATATTTTTACGATCGTTCTTTAATACTTCATTTTTTTTTTTTTTTTTTTTTGTATCAATTCAAAAATAAAACTAAGGGGACGATGAAATCACGAGATTCTTTGTTCTAAAAAGATTTGTGTATATAATATGGGTTACGTTTGCGATCGTGTTGGTAAATAACATGATACCTACTCGTGAGTGAGAACTCGATATACTTAATTAAATAAAAAGTAAATTATCGGCATAATATTAATTTTCTTTATAGTCCAATATGGGCCGTTACGTTATTTTGAATATGGCTCAGAGCACGCAAATATATTTGTTAGTTCGTTAGCCATTTTCGCATTATTCGTTAAACATTCTAAAGCAGTAATCGAATAAACTGATATTATTGTCTATATTTTCACGAATTTCAAATGTGTTTTACTTACGTAAGGTATGTCATAAAAATAAATCATCTTAATCTATTATTTTTGGCGTGTTCTAAAGTAAAACATTAGTATTAGATATTTTAATTGAATATTCTGAATGATTTCTTTTTTTATGATTACAGTAATCGGAATTGGCTTATTAACGTTTCAGCAAACACTTTTGTTTTTCAATCGTTATGCGAAGGTAATTTGCGCCGAGGTTCCACATGCACTTGACCCATGGGTCGTAAAAATATAAATCTACTCGCCCATGTTATTCATTTCGAATCCACTTCGGTCTCTCATGTCGCTCCACGCATTACAAAGCAAATCAGTACATTGTTTATTATACCGTGCAACGAGTGTACAATAAAAATATGTTGTTGGCGCAGAATGTGAGTTTTGATATCTGAAATGGGTCTCAGTTTTACCGTCGTCTTTGTACAACCCTTCCACGTACCGAACATTAATTAATCTGTCTGCAGCAGGATCGTTCGGTTTAAAATTACCTTACGGCGTGACTATCGACTACATAAAATATACGTCCGTAATGTTTAATGTTTAGACTATGTAGGTATAAAACGTATACTTGTTTATATTTTGGCAAAAACCTGTTGGAGTTTTTCACATACTATTTTTTATCAGCTACATGTTGGCCATTTTTATTCGCCTTTTAAGTGAACTTATATAATTTCATTACTTAATATTTATTTAATTTTCTATTTTCTTTTTTTTGATCCTAAAACACGTTAATCCCAAATTATCGAATGCTATATCGTGTTTTTTATTCAGTAGGTTAAGTGCAGAGCTCTGTTGATATTTTATGTGTTTACAATTTCTTTTCGTACTCTTTAACTTACCAGTAGATATTTTTCCATGTGCTTGTATATTGTAAGTATACAAGACAAAAAAATGAAATTGAAATGGAAGTGCAATTCATACTCACTCATGTATCAAGAAGAGTTCATGCCGATCCCGTATGGTAATAGATTAAAAATACGTTTGTTGCATAGAAGTAAGAAGAAATAAATGATTTACCATAGAACGTAAAACCGAGAACAATGGTCCAAGAAAAAATGTATTTTTATTACGCTAAGGCGACGTTTTTATTTGTGAATAAATGATGTAATTACAGCATATGCCCCCGAGTAGGTTATTCTGTTTAGATAATATTTCGGGTTTTAGACTATTTATTTTTTTTTAATTGGGTATTAATCTATATGTTTTTTATATTGTTTTCTTGCCGTGTTCAGTGTTGAGTGTTTGAGCGACCACCATTGTCTTGGTAGCACAATCATTTGCAACATGAATTGTCCGTTTTTGGAGTCGGACGAACACCGAAACCGCCGCGTACGTTTTTCGTAGTCAAGCCCACCTTGAACATTCGTTCAACCCTCGTTATTATTTTATTGTACACCTGTGGATGCGCGTTTCGACGGAATCGGTCGGTCGGTGGTGGCGTCGTCGGCGACGTTGTTGCGGCGGTGGTGGTGGTGGTGGTGGCGGCGGCGGGGTCATAAACTTGGCAACGCCACTACCTGTGTGTATATTTTTCGTACAGAAGAGGAGGAGAACAACAAAGACGTGTATACGTATAAAAATGTGAGTGGTACGATCGAAAAACCGCCAAATGTACCGAAGCAAAATTTTCTGCTCGCACATTTATATGTACACGTATGACATGTGCGCGCGCGCGTGTACGTATTATTTTAATATTATTTTATATACGAGTATAATTCTCATACGTGTAATGTTCTCGCGCCGCCATCGTATTGATTTTTTCTTCTTCTCTGTATGAGTTTTGTAACATCGCGACGACAATGCGTACGTATCCGTAAACATAATTTTAAGTGATTTTTCCCTTCTTTTATATAATTTTTCTATAAATCCTTCCACGTATATACAGTATACACCTTCCATCTAATCTGGTCGGTTATGGTAATACTCTTCAGATTCCTTTCGTGCGGGCCATTAAATTTACATATTATTATTATTATTATTATTAGTGCTCGGCCGGTCGTTTTACTGCTGCCAATCGTTTCGTCGTCGTCGTCGCCGTAGCCATTCTCGCGTACGTTTTCGCGTTCAGGTGTACGCGCGTCCGAGAAAGAGAGAGAAAAAACACTTCCTCACCTGTGCGTGTGTGCACATATATGTTCTTGAGTGGATACATTATTGACGATGAAGGCGGCGGTGGCAGTGCTGCTTAAGACCGTTATATTAAACGCGATCGACCTTGGCCCCCGCATGCGTGTGCGTGTGTTTTTCGTTAACGCCGAATAACGATGGTTATTTCTCTTTTGGGTATAAAATCGGAGTTCGGTTCGACATATTTGTTATACCGACCGTTCTATAATCACAATTACGTTAAATAAAAAAAAAAAAAAAAAACACTTATTTGATGATACGATTCTTTCTCTGTTGATCCGCGTCAACAGTGTGTTTCATAATCGCATGTACGAATTATAATACTTATTTTTTGTTGATGTTCTTCTTTTAGTTTTTACAGATCGTTTAAGACCTTCACTGCTTCAACTATTTTTCTATCTTTACTTTCCTCCAATCTTGATCCTGGTGCACACAGTTGTAAGTCCTATTTGAATGTATCCATTCACCTCTGTTTTTAATATACTATTAGATCTCCAGACATTTTGTTCTTAGATAACAAATCTACAAATGTGTAAACTATTTTATTCAACGGAGTGTTCTTTTATTTTGTGAATTATAAATTCTAAACGCGTATGGCTCGGAGTTTCTGTTTCCAATTTTATCGACAACAGGACTTTACCATGTTAACAATTACTCGAAAATAATAAAAATATTTGGCTGAAATTGTGTAATAGCAAAAGAGCTTTGCCGTGATAATAATAATTGTTATTCAAAAATCAAGTATTCAAAACCGTTTATGGTATCAAAAAACGAATACCAACAATGAACAATTGAACCAATGATATTTAATTTCTCTACAATATTTCTTATAGGCCACTCGACAATTAAAATTCAAACCTTATGTTTACATTTTTCTCTCCCATGATGCATCCGTAGTAGTTGTAAGAACAAATTCAAAACGTGTAAAAAATGTTTTGTTCCTTATCCGATTAACAAAATAATATCGAATGTAATTTTAATTGTATCTCACGAGCACAGATCATGCTATTGACGCGGTCAATCAGTTCAACGAATTGACTTCATGTCGACGACCAATTGTGTACTTATGGTTACGATCTGAACAATGGTATACGCGTCTCTGTAATATAATATTACCTATAATGATGTTTAATTGATTTTGCCATATGAATGGTTGTTTTAATCGCAGACAGTTGATATTGTATGGACGTTCCTCTATTAATTATTGCCGTAAACCGTCATCCAAAAACGCGGTGCGTAGTGTATGTCCATAGATATTATGTATTGTATTCTATAAAACGTGTATTATATTTAGTGTTACGAAAAAGTAAAACGAATGTGCTCTCGGTGAATACAAACTTACGTTTTGATAATTTTCTATCGTAAAGTATACACATGTTAAGAAATATTTAAGAAGATGCGCACAAAAAAAAAAAAATAATAATAATAAAATGAAATTAAAAAGTACTTTGCTAGTCGTCCTGGCGCCTATCACATTTTGAAACTGTTCCGGTCTATTGCCCGTAGATGCTTTGAAGCAATAAAAAATGAATGGCTAGTAAAAAAAAATCTCTTTCTATTGTACGAAGAAAAATAACAATAAATAAATAACAACCGCAAGTAATTGTCCCGACCTAATATTTTTTTTACCGTCCAAACCGAATTTTTACTTTTAAATTGTAGCTGTATTGTACTTTGTACTGTACTGCTATAATATTTCTCAGACATTTTCATAATCTTATCGAAGAATTATAAATTAATTGAGCATATGAATGCGTATGTATTTCTGCAGTTGATCGATTTATAATCCTCCTGGTGGAGCTAAATGGGTTGTTTTCCAATCAAGCGCTCAGCGTAATAAAAATACTATAATTCGGTTTGTAAGTTTTTATTATGTGTTTTATCAATTTCGGTTGAAATGTCCGTGTTTGTTAATCACTGCCGTATCGTTTTTAATTTACTGAAATTTTAATTACTGAAAGTCTTTCACGAATATTTCCATTATAGGTATTTTTTTTTTTATATTTATGTGAACTTCATTTCACGTGGTCGTACAAAATATAATGCTCAAGATCAAAAGTATCATTGGATTTTTAATAAAAAAATCTTTTCCGCCGTACATAATAATAATAATAATAATAATACATTAACCAGTCTATAATTTTATCACGTTTGTTGCACAACACACGAGCACAGTTCATTTAACAGATCACTTGTCGTTTTATTTTTTGTTTTTTTCCTACGCCCGCTGTTGTTTAGCAGTTAGTTTTATGACGACAAATGTCGTAAAAAAATATACATGTATACACAACGGATTAATGTACGCTTTCAAGGAGGGAAACGCCGTCGATTGTCTCGCGTCGAAATCTCAACGTTCGTTTCGGCCGTTTGGTCAACTGCCGTTTCTACGACCGAATGAAATCATAACGAAACCGTTTTGTCGTCGTTGCGACTGCGCGGCCTTTTATGGTGGTTCTCTCGGTCCTAGAACGAGATTTATTGCCATGCGCAACACACGGTATACATTATAGATTTACAATTTATCACGTGCAATTAAACGTATATCGTAATGGTTGTTTATGATATAATATAATCAATACAATAAACGATGTTTTATTATACTGCGTTTTTTCTTTCGTCCCTTCCGTTCGAACGGAATTTTTTTTCTCGATACGTCCACATTTACCGAATTATAATCATGTAAACTTTTAGCTCGTACAAACGACTACTGAAAGCTAATAATAATAGTATATCGATTGTTGTTCCAGACAATATGCGGATCGAAGCGGGTGGTCGTGTAGGCAGCGGAGACGCGGTCCAGTGAGATAGCTAAGTACGCAGTTCGTTAGCTAAAGTTGTCTGCCGAGGGACGGACGAAGCGACGTAGCGACAGCGATAACCTATTGCGGCGGACAGCGATATAGCCTCAGAACTCCGCGTAGCGTTCGGTCCGCAGCGTCCGCACATGTCGTCCGCGGTGGACGGGCAACAGCAACGACAGCCGTTGTCGCCGCCAATGGCCACCGTGCTGGTGCACCAGTGCAAAGAGGAATCGCCGGACTTGTCGCCGCCGCCGCATCCTCAGACCGTGATGTCGCCGACGGCCGTGCAGGACATGCCACCGGAGAGCACGTCCCCCGTGATGCTGGCCACCATGCAACCGGTGAGCGTGGACGAGTTCCCGACAGCCGATTACCATCATCATCATCAACACCACCAGCAACAACAACAGCAGCAGCAGCAACAACAACAACATCATCACCAACAACAACAGCAACAGCAACAACAAACACATCACCATCAGCAACAGCATCCTGACGATCCGTTGGACCAGAAGACAGTGATCTATATATCGGACACCGATCCGCAGCAGACCATCATCTATGACCATCAGAATCCCAGTGGATCGTTGCCACCTGGTATCACAATCCAACAGGATCCGGTCAACGGTTCGGCCGTATCCGTGCTGGTCCAGGGACAGCCGGCGCACCAGTACTTGGAGTCGTCGGGTGGCACCACGGTGCTGGTAATGCAGGAACTGGTCGACGATATGGGACATATATTGCACAGGTTAGTGTCCACCATTGCTGTTAACATAACATATAACAACCTATAATTTGTTGACTTTGTTATGAACGAATCGGTCAATCGAAAATCGGTACGTGTCCGCTTGAAACTAATATTCATGCAGATTCATAGTCCTACGCTGCGTTCGTGCGCGTTTCGTGTTTTTCACTTGTTACACTGCCTCCGCAGGCCCTGCACGGGTTCGCCCATGTGTGCACTCGCTCGCACCGTACCCCTTCGAGGGACTGTATGTCGCAGCCGATCCGGTGTTCAAACGAGTTCGATGGTGGACGGGGTAGGGACCCTTCTGCACTCGGAACCCGTTCAGCGCCCGCCAGGTAAGGGTATTCGGTTTTGGAGACGGTTTCATCGTCGGAAATCACGCACGCGCGTCGACAGAAATCGACTACAACGTCCGCCGCCGTCACCGCCACGAGGTCGTTGAACGCGTGACGCGCGCGCGCGAATTCGCGAGTGTGTTGAACCGTCGCCGAACGCGAACTCATCCGACGGACGCACGTCGATCACCCGAAAGTTTTGCCCACCCGTGTCCGTTCGGTGCATTCCACGCGCTGAATCAGCGGAAGATTAACGTTTCGCATTAGTTGTTTTATTGTTTTCTATTCTGTTCGGAAGAAATATTTTTTTTATTTTTTTATTTATTAGTTTAATTGTGTCATACACTAAGTATTTTTACAATGCCATTTAAGTTTGCAATTTACAATCAATATACAATCGTATTTACAAATTTTTCGTGAGCTTATAATTCTAGATCCGTGTCTGAATCTGAGGTGTTTTCTTTGGGTTCAAGTAAAATATCTTGTGGTAGACGTGGTTTTAACCTTAGGTTGACGGATCTTTTGCCAATTTTATAATGCAGTGATCCGTCATCTTTGAACTTGAAAATTTAAAAGGAAGAACTTAACCATAGCTCGTTCGGTTGATCGCTATAGGTACGAATTTTATTGTCGACCGTGTGCATTTGAAATGTACAACAAGTACGGTTGTAGGATTTGTAATTTATCCGTCTGAATCGAGAGAAAAAATAGACAAATAACTATCTCGTTTGTTGTATGTGTTTCGAACAATTTTCGTTTACATCTGCATAATTGATAAAATCATTTTTTTGAATCGACAGTTGACAATCGAAACCGGTGTAGATCGAGCGCATTTCGCTTAAAGTAACAATACGGACTCGTATTTATTACGTTAATAAACACGCGCGAACGAGCTTTTATTCTCTTTGTCGAAAATACTAACCAAACGTGCGTTCAGCTATCGATGATTTTACCCAAGTGGGTTGTAACCACTTGGCCGTCTTAATACCAAAGTGCGCGGTACATAGACGCGTAAAATTATAAATTGTTTTATTGTTATTAATAATATACGAACGCGTTGTCCAACCGTCCCTCGCGTTTTATAATATATTATTCGTGTACTTTTCATTATGTTTTCCCATGGCATCACACTCGTCGTATATAAACACTATAACAAGTGCGTGTGCGTGCGTGTAACATAGGAAGAATTAAACGTAATCATTCCCAAGGTCGTTGCCGCCGTCGCTCAAGAAAGTTCTCCTTAATATACGCATGGCGATAAGACGCCAACAATGTGTTTATATATGTATAATATATTATAAACATATTATAAAGACGACCTGTTAGTGCGTGTGTCTGTACATATACGAATAAATGTGTTAGTGCCCATTTCTCGGTCGGACCCCCTCCCCTCCCCCCGATTACAAAAAGTACTTCACGCCGTGATACCATACGACAGCGATTTTATTTTTTTTGAAAATAAAAAATTTAATTAACGATTCGGATTAACTTCTGCATTAACCGTTTAGAGTTGTTAATAAAAGTCTGGTAGGTAAGAAAAAAAAATACATATATTATACCGATAATACGAGTCCCCGACCACGGATTTCACTTTAATTCCGAGTGTTTAGCGTATAAATAATACTTATGTACGCGTGTAATATAATACCCAGGGAAATCGAGTGTTTCGTTAAACGCGCGGCGGTCGATACGACAATTGAAGTGTATCTAACCCAACACAATGGCTTGTGTACTTCCACCGTTGACAATGTACCAAAGATTCCCAACGGCGATTATCATTTAAATACGAAACGCGCCGCCGAGGCCGCTGTTATTGTTGCTGCTGCTGCAGGAGTCTATCGGAAGGCGGACGATGGGGAATGTTTTTAAACGATATTCGGTAATCGTATATTAAAAATCGAACGCGATTTCGCTCCCAAACCATTGTCGTACAAAAATAAAACGCATACTACTATTTCGTTATTGGTTTCGAATAGTAGTGCGTGCGTGTACAGCGACCCGATGCATACATTATACTACCATTACATACATGTATTAAATACATTTATTAGAGGTGATGGCGGCAAAGTGGTATACATCATTCAATCGAAACAAATATAATTTGATCTTGTTAATCAGATAACGTTCTTTTTTTTTTTTTTTTTTTTTTTTTATCGTGACTCGACTATTGATAACAGCGTGGGTTGCATCGTTTAGATTTATGTTGTTACTGAGCATAAAGTGCACCTGCCACGTCTTCTTTACTACTTTTCAGCTCCCTATACACGTATACATAAATATATGGGTATATTTAAGTATTTGTATGTACGTATATATTGCAGCGACTGTCAATTTTTGACAAATATAATATTTACTCCCTTTGATAACGACTTACTGATAAACCTGTTCAAATAAATATCGATTATCATCCTGTAGAAGCTGTCATGACTTGCTAAATTATTTTTCCTGATTCTTATTGTATTAGTGGCGCGTTCAATTCAACTGGGCAATTTTCTAAGACATTTATTTCATGATAATATCTGTCAAATGAAAAAAAAATACTTGCGATTTACCTAGGATTTTTTATTTTTCGCGAATTTATAATATTTTGTTCAATAATTCTGGACTATGTACAGCCATTATAGACAATAATGATGATCACGAACAAACATTACATTAATAATATTCATTAATACGTTCTATAATCGACTCCAATTACCGCATTATATACGCATTTGTTCAGAGAAATCGTCTTGGAGTTAAATCTTGATGTAATTTTGATGACAAGTGGCTTGGTACAAAATATTTAATGATGCTCATAGTAATTGTCGGATGTTCAACAGATCATTTTTACTTAAGTACAGTCGGCAGATGACGTACTAAAACGGCAACAAATGCTTTATCAAACAAAACGGTTGATTTTTGTTATCTCTCGAATTTTCACAATTTTGTTCGTACTAATACATTGTTTATAACATAAATATTTATTCGATGTAGTTGCGTAATTGATATTAAATACTCCGTGTACATATAATACTCTTAATACAATAATGTATTTATGTAGGTACAATATAATTTGAGATTTAAGATAATAGCTTCAAGGTTTTTTTCGAACATCTACACTGTTATATAAGAAATATCAAAATAGTCACCAGATGAAAATAAAAACAATAGTGGTTGAGATGGGTCTTTGTGCTGTTGCGCACATTTTTAAACGAGAACCGAATCAGCTTAATCGTGTTATTAAAATTGACCTCAATTATATGGTAAATTTAGAACGACATTGATTCTTCGCAAGCAACAGCCAATTTATTTTATACGCAGAAACCATTGGTGAGTATACTCGTACATATATTATAATAATGTATATACATATGTGTGTGTATGTGTGTGTGCGAGTCATAGAGATTGCAAGGTTACTTAATTGATCCTCGAAATTTAGTAGCGGGGACTTAACTTCTTCCGACAACGACCGATTTCGCTAAAACGTACATTCGGTTTTCGTGCGCACCGGCTAATTGTTGAGAGCAAGACTGCTATATTATTACATCTACGTCTTATGTACATATAAAATGTAATACTGTGATAGCGTATGTGTTCTATTGTGTTTGAATGTTCGAGGCGTTGAAGTCTTTCTTGCCGCGTACGACGGAGGTGCAGCAGAGCAGCGCGATAGCGTAGGTACGACTAAAAAAAAAAAAAACGTTTTCACACCACCTCGTGTTATTTTATTATCCCATTGTACACATTTATGTATGTATCCAACCGTTATCTCATCAACCCTCGGTGGAAATCATCTTGTTTTTTGGTTCGCCTCCCGCAGAGGGTGAATCGTTTCGCTAGGGCTGTGTTTCATCGCGATCCATTCCTTCGGCCGTACTCAAACGTATTTCGTCTCCGTCGCGCCCGACGATACGACCGGGGCGCGCAGCGCGTTCGTCAAAGTTGCACCAACTCGCCGTGCCTGGAATAAAAGCATGCGTAAACGTCGCGCCCGTGACCGCAAGGTCGTCCGCCGTCGCGGTTGCGTTGTCCGAATTCGCACGTGTGCGTATCGCGCGTGCACAACGGTCGTTGTTGCAACGTTGTGTAATCCGTACTCCGTACTTTGCACGCGCACGTTTCGGTTTATCCGTTTCCGAGTATCATTGGCGCAACTAGGCTGGGGCGGAACTATGGGGTGAAAGACAGGGATTCGTCCCCGGGCGTAAAATCTTAGAGGGTGCACTTTTTGCAATTATTAACGACTCATTTGATATTTTTAACTTTGTTAAACACTGTTATTAGGTTAAAACTCAATAAGTATGATTGTATCTATATTAATTATAAGAAAAAAATTCTCGAGAAGAGTATTTGATTATTGGTCCATAATAAATAGGGCATCATTTAAAATTTTCCTTGGGCGTGAAAATTTCCAGTTTCACTTCTGCAACTGAGGGGGAGGGGCCGCAATAGGGTTTTTAGCACGCCCGAGTTCAAGCACTATAGTGTTTTTTTCTTCAGATCTATATAATCTATAGCAGGGGGGCGAACCTATGGTACGGGTGCCAAAAATGGCACGTTGACTAAATTTGAATGGCACGCGCAAAAAATTGAATGCTTTCATATTTTTCGTCAACTTATGTTTGTGAAAGCTTATTCGCCATAACAAATTTAATTAAATCGAAGAGAAGAAACGTTTTGACC